CGTTGCAATTAGTTTTGGGTCATGAACGTAATATATCCCATTTAAGAATTTTTGGATGCGCAGTATATGTGCTTGTAGCGCCGCCATATCGCACCAAATTGAGTCCGCAAAGAAGGTTAGGAATATATGTTGGGTTTGAATCGCCCTCCATTATTCGCTATCTTGAAACATTAACGGGGGATTTATTCACTGCTCAATTTGCAGACTGTCGATTCGATGAGACACTTTTCCCAAAATTAGGGGGAGAAGTTGGTGAAACCAAACGGGAAATTTTGTGGAAAAATTCATCATTATCTCATCTTGATCCACGTGCCTCTATTTGTGAAAAAGAGGTGCAAAAGATTATCCATATGCAAAGAATAGCAAATCAAATGCCAGATGCATTTACGGATTTGAAAAGGATAACAAAATCACATATCCCTGCAGAGAATGTTCCAATCCGTATTGATGTCCCTATTGGACAATCTTCTAGTGTCATAGCTAATGAGTCAAAAGCTCGCCTAAAATGTGGTAGACCATTAGGTTCTAAGGATCGAAATCCTAGAAAAAGGAAAACAAATGATCAAAATGACACTACGAAAGAATCTTATAAAGAAATCCATGATTTAATAAATTTCGAGATTCATGAGGAAACCACTGAGCCCGAGACTCAAGAAAATAAGGAACTATCAATAAATCCAATCGATATTGAGACAAATTTGAATTGAGTGGATATAGTGGTGGATTATGTCTTTGCATATGATGTTGCATCTAGCATTATGTAAGAAAGTGAGGATCTTGAACCTCAATCTGTTGGAGAATGTCGACAAAGACTTGATTGGCCAAAATGGCAAGAAGCAATCTAATTAGAATTGAATTCACTTGCAAAACGTGAAATTTTTGGGCCTGTAGTCCAAACACCTAATGGTGTTAAGCCTGTTGGCTATAAATGGGTTTTTGTACGCAAGGGAAATGAGAAAAATGAGGTACAAAGATATAAAGCATGCCTTGTTGCACAAGGATTTTTACAAAGGCCTGGTGTCGATTATGAAGAGACATATTCACCCGTTATGGATGCTATATTTCGTTATCTCATTAGTTTTGTTGTCCATGAAAAGCTTGACATGCATTTAATGGATGTGGTTACCGCTTACCTTTATGGCTCACTTGATAATGAGATATACACGAAAATTCCCGAGGGATTCAAAAAGCTTAAAGCAAATAATTCAAAGTCCCGGGAAATGTTTTCAATCAAATTGCAAAGATCGTTGTATGGTCTAAAGCAATCAGGACGAATGTGGTATAATCGTCTTAGTGAGTATTTATTAAAGGAAGACTATATAAATGATGTCATTTGCCCATGTGTTTTTATAAAGAAAACAACATCGGAATTTGTTGTACTTGCCATATATGTTGATGACATAAACCTTATTGGAACTCCTATAGAACTCCAAAAGGCAATTGATTATTTAAAGAAGGAATTCGAGATGAAAGATCTCGGAAAGACAAAATTATGTCTTGGTTTGCAAATTGAACATTTGGTAACCGGAATTTTTATTCATCAATCTGCCTACATAGAAAAGGTATTGAAACGGATTTACATGGATGGATCACATTCATTAAGTACTCCGATGGTTGTTCGATCACTTGATGTGAATAAGGATCCATTCCGGCCTCAAGAAAAGAATGAAGAGCTACTTGGTCTTGAAGTACCATAGCTTAGTGCAATTGGTGCACTAATGTATCTTGCTAATACTACAAGGCCTGACATAACTTTTTCAGTTAATGTCTTAGCAAGATATAGCTCTGCTCCTACAAGGAGACATTGGAATGGAATCAAACACATATTGCGGTATCTAAAAGGGACTACCGATATGGGCTTATTTTATGACAGTAATTGCAGTTCCGATCTTGTTGGTTATGCTGATGCTGGGTATTTATCCGATCCATACAAGGCTCGATCTCAAACAGGTTATGTGTTTACCTATGGAGGCACTGCCATATCTTGGCGATCGACTAAGAAATCAATTGTGGCTACTTCATCTAAACATGCCGAGATAATTGCTATTCATGAAGCAAGTCGAGAGTGTGTGTGGTTGAGGTCTATAATACATCATATTCGAGACAAATGTGGTTTGAAATGTGACAAACTACCCACGATTTTGTATGAAGACAATGCAGCATGCATAGCCCAATTGAAGGGAGGATTCATAAAAGGAGATAGGACAAAGCACATTTCACCAAAGTTATTTTTCACACATGATCTTCAAAAGAATGGTGATATCAATGTGCAACAGATTCGTTCAAGTGATAATATGGCTGATTTGTTCACCAAGTCTCTACCGACGTCAACCTTCAAGAAGCTAATACACAAGATTGGGGTGCGAAGGCTCAAGGATGTGAAATGATGCTCTCATCAGGGGGAGTTTAATGCGCGTTGCACTCTTTTTCTCTTACAAGGTTTTGTCCCACTGGGTTTTCCTTGCAAGGTTTTTAACGAGGCAACCAAAGGGTGTATATTTAGATATGTGTACTCTTTTTCCTTTTCTAGATTTTTTTTCCCATTGGGTTTTATTTTAGTTAAGGTTTTAACGAGGCACATTACTTATTGAGTAGACATTCAAGGGGGAGTGTTATGAATAAGATTCTATTTAGAGTGAATGTCTATCTTGTAGAGAGTTTTACTTTGTGGCTAAGTCATTTTCCCCCTATAAATAGAGGGGTCTTACCCCATTGTAAATGATCCCAAAATTCAATAAGAATTTTCTCTCTCTTTCTCTGCAATATTGTTCTTCTACTTTTATTGTTTTATCATAGATACAAATTAATGACTTTTTTAAAAAAGGGAAAAATTAGGAAGAAGAGAAGAAGTAGGGCACTCCTTTAATTATCTATATCTATATCTATATTATATTAAAAGGAGAGTAGTTTGCCATGTGGTTAAGCCAAGTGACAAGCTAAAATGAATTAACTTGACAATTTTAAGACAACAAAAAAAAATTTGGGTTATAAATGGAAAAATATTTAATGAAAGTAGTAGTCCAAGATTTTCCGTAAATTGAATTTCATTCTTTAATTAATCAAAGCCAATTATTTTAACATTTAAACTAAAAATGTTCTCTTTTTGAGAATCTGTTGGACGTACACAAAGAGGGATGCAACTTTCAGTAAGCAAACAAATATACTATAACTATAGGTATCTTTAATTAAATTTGTGTATAATTCAGTTATGGTAGGTATCTTTTTTTGAGAAAGAATCAATTAGAATTTCGTTTTGTATCTTACACATTAATTTTAAGTTGAAATAATAATTCTATATTTAGTATAAACTTTGTATCTGACCTTATTTGCGAACAATATATATTATTATAGGTATCTTTAATTAAATTTTGTGTATAATTCAGTTGTGGTAGTTATTCTTTTTTAAGAAAGAAATAACTAAATAAACATTTTTTATTTATGAGTTTTGATATCTTTAATTAAAATTTGTGTATAATTCAATTATGGTAGGTATCCTTTTTTGAGAAAGAATCAATTAAAATTTTATTTTGTATCTTACATATTAATTTTAAGTTGAAATAATAATTCTATATTTAGTATAAGCTTTATATCGGACCTTATTTGCGAACAATATATATTATTATATGTATATTTAATTAAATTTTGTGTATAATTCAGTTATGGTAGTTATTCCTTTTTAAGAAAGAAATAATTAAATAAACATTTTTTATATATGAGTTTTGATATCTTTAATTAAATTTTGTGTATAATTCAATTATGGTAGGTATCCTTTTTTGAGAAAGAATCAATTAAAATTACGTTTTGTATCTTACACATTAATTTTAAGTTGAAATAATAATTCTATATTTAGTACAAGCTTTGTATCTGACCTTATTGCGAACAATATACATTATTATATGTATCTTTAATTAAATTTTGTGTATAATTCAATTATGGTAGGTATCCTTTTTTGAGAAAGAATCAATTAAAATTACGTTTTGTATCTTACACATTAATTTTAAGTTGAAATAATAATTCTATATTTAGTACAAGCTTTGTATCTGACCTTATTGCGAACAATATACATTATTATATGTATCTTTAATTAAATTTTGTGTATAATTCAGTTATGGTAAGTATTCTTTTTTAAGAAAGAAATAATTAAATAAATATTTTTTATTTTACATTTATATTATATTAAAGGAAATAGTATTAAAAAACTAACAAGAGGACAAATGAAAAAGACAAGAAAAATTAAGGTTTGGTGGTTAACCACAAAAAAACGTTGAAAATTTAAAAATGTCAAAAGCTAAAAAATGAAAGATTCGTAATGACAAAAAAAGAAAGAAATATTCGTATCATTTCTTCAGAATTCACACATACAAATTGATTTACACATGCCGTTTTTAAATATTAGAATTTTATATACTTAAAAATTTATTTACTATGATAGTCTTTCCTTATAAATCGTTATTTAAGCAACTTTTCTTTAGGATTGACTTCTCTACATTGCTTAGGATTTAGCTTCCACACAAACTTCTGCAAAAGTATGGATCCAAACTATAACTATATCAACGAAATATCGATGTCCAAAATGAGTTGGAATTTGAAGGTTCGTGTTATTAGATTATGGCACATTCCAGACTGTGAGAAAGTAGAAAATTCTAATTCAGCTGAATTAATTATTCAAGATGAAAAGGTGCATACTTTTTTACATGTTGTTATTTTTTTCGAATTGTGATGTATTTTCTTTAACTTATGCGCCTTACTAACTTAAATTTCTTTCCACATTTTTTATTTTAGGGAGATCGAATTCATGCAACTATTGGAAGAGCTGTTATGCGTATTTTCAAAACAAAAATACATGAAATGAGATTGTACGTTATGAAAAACTTTGTAGTTGGACCAAACAATCTGAAAATTAAGACCAGCAAGCATAAATTGAAACTGACATTTGCTCATAGGACGAGTGTGGATGAAATTAGTGATCCACAGTTTAGTTTGAATATCTTCAACTTTAAGCCTTATGAGCATCTCAAAAATCAACTTGAGATTGATGAGAATGAACTTTCGGTAATTGTTTTACCTTTCACTATTTTTTGTTGAATGTTTTATCACCTTATTTATAACTATTCATTTAAATGTGGCAGCTGTCATAGGAGAAGTTATTGAGGATCATGAGTACGCTTGCAACCATGAATTGAATTATTTATAGATTCAATTACTATTATTTTCTCATTATTAATTTGTGTATTTGATATATAAGAGGAACAATATTTCAGCAATATTTTGGGGAGAATTTGTAGATGAAATCTTGCCCCACTTGGATGGATCACCCAATCAACGTGTCATAGTAGTTATGCAGCTCATAAGAGCTCACAAATTTCAAGGTACTCATATCATAATATTTATATTTGACTTCTATTTGTGTGTGTGTGTTTTTAAATTAAAGTTAATTTTATATGTAGGCAAATATTTTGTGCGTAATACTTGGCATTCCTCGAAGCTTTGGATTAATCCTGATCTTCCACAAGTTGCTGAATTTATATCCAGGTTTTTTATATATAATATTAAATTTATATATGTATTACATATTTTTTTAGCATATTTAGAACTAATACAAAATTAGATAAATGCAGATTAGGAAGTGGGCGTGAAGTTAACTTTAAGGGGATTAGTCAAATGAAACGACTCAACCGGTCGTTTTGAGCTTTTGTACTTTAATCGCTAGTTCTCGGGCATGACTTGCCCCGTGTAACGTATTATGACTGATGTAAATCGTTGGTTTTGGTTTTCAGGAAAAATCGGAATGAATTTGAAGAAACAGTCTCAGTTGAAAGCTTTGAATTTGAAAGGTTGAATAAGAGTTGACTTATTTTTATATGAGCTAGGATAAGAAATTTTATGATTTGGATAGTTTCGTTGGGTGATTTATGACTTAGAAGCGCGATCGAAATGCATTTTGAAAATCCGTGGAAGGATTTATCTTGAATTGGCAAAGTTAGTATTTTGGCGAATTCCGGTTGATAGGTGAGATTTTTATCCAAGGGTCGGAATGGAATTCCGATAGTTGCTGTAGCTTCGTTATGTCATTTTTGATGTGTGTGCAAAATTTCAGGTTATTCGGACATCGTTTGTTCGGGTTTTTGATCGAAAGTGTATTTCAGAAGTTTTTGAAAACTTAGGCTTGAATTCGATGAGTTTTGAATAATTTGATGTTGTTTGAGGTGTTTTGATGATTGGAACAGGTTTGAATGATGTTATAAATTATGTTGTCATGTTTGGTCGGGGTCTCATGAGGCTAGGATAAGTTTTGGAAGAGTTTTTGGAAGATTTTTGCCGTTTTGAGCATAAGCATGTAATAATCCAAAGGTCCATTTTTAGTTTTAGAGAACGAAATTTGATTTTGAGACTTCTGGAATTTTGATAATGAATTATAGGACTGATCTGAAAAGTTTGGTCTAATTTCATCAAGTCGCGATTGGGTTTTTGACACGAAACATGAGTTAATTATTTAACGAGCTAAATGGGTATTGAACTGAGCAAATGAGATCCGAATTGAGTTTCGACTGAAGGGCTATGTTCATATTATTATTTGTGACTTATAGGAACAAGAATCATCAAATTCCGAGTTCGTATGATGGAGTTAGAGCCTTTTTAGTGAAAAGAAAAGCTGCTGCAATTTTCTGGGCATTTTTTTGCATTTTTCGCACGTGTGCACAGTAACTGCACCTGCGTGAACAGTATCCGTGTATAGTACCATGCACAGTAAACATGAACAGTATCAGTGTACAGTACATATGAATAGTACCCCCATATACAGTACCATGAACAGTACCCATGAACAGTAAAATGCGTGAACAGTAACCGCAAAAATTTCTGGATAGTGTATGATTCGGGCAGTCCGAGAGTTTTCTCATTTTTGGAGCTATGGAGCTCGGATTGAAGCGATTTTCGAAGCAATTTTTACCATATGGATTGGGGTAAGTATTCTATATCCAAAAATGATTATATTTAATGATTCCATGGTTATTTTCATCAAAAATTAGTGAATCAAATGGAAGAAATTGGAGAAAATTTGTAAACTTTTCAAAAACGAAAATTCTAGATTTGGAGGCCGAATTGTTATCGGAATTTAGTAATTTTTATATGGTTGGACTCGTGGTTGAATGGGTTGTCGGATTTTGTGAGTTTCGTCGAATTCCGAAGCGTGGGCCCGGGGGCCGGGTTTGAGCAATTTCGGGATTTTGATGTTAAATTGGATATTTTCGAGTGGTCTTCGCTCCCTAGCATATTTTAATGATTATGTACTGATTGTGGCTAGATTTGGAGCATCCGGAGGTCGATTCGTGCGGGCGAGGCATCGCGGGCTAGATTTTGGACCGGATCGAGGTAAGTAATGATTGTAAATACTGTCCTAAGGGTTTGAAACCCCAGATTATACGTCGTTGTGTTACTTTGAGGTGACTTGCACGCTGGATGACGAGCGTGGGGTAGAGCACCGCTGGGTATTGTGACCTAATCCATCCCGAACGAATATTTTAATGCGTATTTGATAGTTAATTGTTTAACATTATTATATTTTTGGGTTGTATGCCATGTTAGGGTCTTGTGCCGACTTGTTGAGGGGGCATTTTTACTATCTTTCCTCATTCTATTTGTTTGAAAGCATATTCTCAGTCATGTTTTACCTGTTTACTGCTCAAATCTGGATTTATCACTATGTTCTTAAAATGTGGAAATTGTTTTGGGTTGAGTTCCCTGTTTTACTGAGATAGACCGAGGGTCTGATTGTGAGATTGATGACTGAGATAGACTGAGAGTCTGATGGTGAGGTTAATGACTGAGAGAGGCCGAGTGCCTAGTTGTGAGGATTATATATCTATGGATCGGGCTACACGCCGAAACAATGTATATCTATATGTATATAGATCGGGCTGCACGCCGCAGCAATGTATATATATATGTATATGGATCGGGCTGCACACCGCAACGATACTTATATGGATCGGGTTGCGCGCCGCATCAATATAGCGCTTGGGCTGTAGGAGCCCCTCCGGAGTCTGCACACCCCCAGTGAGCGCAGTCGACTATTTATATGGATCGGGCTGTGCGCTACAGCGATGCATGGATCGGGCTGCACGCTGCAGCGGTTACTTTGATTTCAGTTATTGTGAGAGATATACGGATCGGGCTGCACGCTGGAGCGGTTACTATATGGTACCAATTGAGCGTGAATGCTGAGTGCGAGTACTGATTGGTAAGAGTTGAGTCACGAGTGACAGAGAGGCTAGCCCGAGGGGCGATAGATATATACATGCATATGAGTGATGTTTTTGCCTGAGAGGCCTGTTTATGGACTTATTGATTTCACTCCTCTTTAAAGTGAATTTCTATCGAATATGTTGATTTTATCGACTGTTTTCACTCATCTTTATATTGAGCCTCTGTCAAAAAGTTGAACAAATGTTTTAAAACAACTTTTATTTAAATTGGGGTTTATGAGATATTCAGAAATTAATCACTGATTTGGCATTGGTTATTTCCACTGAGATTTTTAAGTTATGAAGTGTTTATGATTACTGTTTTGCCTGAGGGGCTGTTTTACAAACTATGTTTTGCCCGAGGGGCCGATTATGGCTTTAATCTCTATTACTATCTTAAATGGTATTGAACCCCTACCGAAACTGCTGGAAAGTATATCAAAATGATTTTTACTAAAAGCTGGATTTTAAAAGGAAAGATTGATTCGTATTATGATTTGAAGGCCTGTTGTGTTTATTGAGCCTAACGTGAATGTGGATTCATTGTTTCCTACTGCTCAGCCTTTATTTACTCTTATTACTTACTGGGTTGGAGTACTCACATTACTCCCTGCACCTCGTGTGCAGATTCAGGTATATCGGAACCCGGTAGCGGGTGTTGATAGCTCAGCCGCGGAGTCATCAGAGTTAGCAAGGTGGCTGCATGACGTTCGCAGCACCGCTTCCTTCCCCTCATTGTTGTTACTGTATTTAGTACATTTTTAGACTTTTGTTGTATTCAGACCTTGATAGTTGCTCATGACTAGTGACACCCCGATGTCGGGCTGGTATTTTATTCCGCACTGTTATTCCAGGATTTTATTATGAAACATTGTTTAATTTAAAGACTTAAAAATGACTCTTAATGCTTAAAGGGTTAAGGTGAGTGTTGTGTCGGCTGAACTTGTCTTCACAAGAGGCGCCATCACGACCGGGCCGGTTTGGGGTCGTGACAAGTTGAGTGCAGTACAGGTGCTGAGGCAATGCGACTGTAGCTCACAGGAATCCCACATCGGAAAACAGAGGGGGAGTCCTGGGCTATATTAGTAAGACTTGGACTTACATATGTATAGGCCTTTTCCCCAGGTGGACTAGGGGAGAACAAAACTGTGAGGGCGAGGCCCAAAGCAGACAATATATGCACAGTGTGGTCCGGGTCATTACAGTTGGTATCAAAGCCGACTCTCACCTAGTATGATGGGTGGGTACCCACAACGGGGACGTTGTGTTCCTGTTGGTGGGGTGAGTGCAGTACAGGTCCTGAGGCAATGGGACTGTAGCTCGCAGGAATCCCACATCGGAAAATAGAGGGGGAGTCCTGGGCTATATTAGTAAGACTTGAACTTACATGTGTATAGGCCTTTTCCCCAGTTGGACTGGGGGAGAAAAAAACCGTGAGGGCGAGGCCCAAAACGGACAATATATGCACAGTGTGGGCCGGGTCGTTACATCAAACAACTTCTCATCGTAGTTATTCTGTTTCTGAAGAACCGGCTGTTGGAAATGTGGAAGTTAAAAATATTGGAGAATTAATTGATTTCATGCAGGTAAGAAAAATGTTCTTTAGACAAACCATAACTAACAAATATAGATCTGTCATCTTATATAATATATTGGATTTCTTTTTTATAGGAAGGGCAAATCTGGACTGTTGCTAATGTAGTAAATTTAGAACTTGAAAAGGGATGGTCACATGTAGGGTGCAAAAAATGTTCAAAGAAAGTTGATAAAACTGGAAATAAATTTTACTGCAAGAAATGTGAACGTGTTGATCAGTCTGCTTTGAAAAGGTTTGACCGTAATCTATGCTTAATTAAAGATTATTAGAACATAAATTTAAGTTAAAAAGGTTTTTAACTTAAAGAAGTTATCAGATACAGGCTTCAGGTTCGAGTAATTGATGGAACTGGCTCTATTTGTTTGTTGCTTTGGGATCGTGAGGAAACAAAAGATGTTGAAAAGTCTGCTGATACCTTGAAAGAAGGTGTACTAGAGGTATGTTATTTTATTTCCATTGTTTCATATATTTTAGCACTTCTAATTCTAACATTGGTTTTAGACTTCTAGTGCTGCTTATGAGTGTTCTCATCCATTGGAGAAAAAGTGTTTATTCCAAGAATAACGTTGACTCCATCTAATGCGAGAATACCTTTTGTAATGACCTTTTGTAATGCGACAATACCTTTTGTAATGACTCCATCTAGGGGATTTTCATCATCAATGATAAGGTAAGCTAACCCACCTATATTGAGTTAAATATATCGATTTTGTGCGAATTTTAGCATGTAAATGGGTAGAAATTTGGAGGTTTGAGGAAAACCTAGAAAATTGATAATCTTGAATTTTGACCACGATTTTGGGTATGGAATTAAAAGAAAATCATATATTTGAGTTCGTGAGCTCATGGGTAAACCTTATCTTTGAAAAAAAATTTAGAATCCGGGCACGTGGGCCCGAGGGCAATTTTGTTAACTTTTCGATCGGAGTTAGAAATTGTTATAAATTGGAATGTAATGAGTAATTGAGCATATATTAATGGATTTGCATAATTATTGGCTAGTGTTGGAGCGTTGTGCATCAATTTGAGTCTTCGGAAGGGCGTGGAATGCTGGTTATGGATCTTCGGAGCGAGGTGACTCTCCTTTCTAACCTTGTAAGAGGGAATTATCCCCATAGGTGAGTTAATTAGTTATGTGCTCCTATTTGTGGGGGCTACGTACGCACGAGGTGACGAGAGTCCGTGCGTAGCTACTATTATGCTATTGTCCGGGTAGTCTAGGACCCAAAAACATGTTGTACTTGGATTATTTGTAAGCTTATTGACAACTTGAATTGCTTAAAACACATCGAATTGGTAAACGAATCTTAAACAGATTAAACTTCATTTTTTTTAAATCATTAAAAGAGAATTGACTTTTATTGGAATAAATATTTCCCGATAAACCCTTATTGGCTATTTGACTGTGTATATATGTGTGCCCGCGTCGTACGTATGATTCGCGAGCGGGGTATTTGTTTATTTAATGTTGATCGCGTCGCATGTATGATGCGCGAGCAGGGTAATAGATGCATCTATGGTTCGTACCGTTCGACCCTCGACAGTGCACATTTTACATTTCTATTGGATCGGGCCGTACGACCTCGGCATGATATGTGCATGCTTGTATTGCTTGCCTAAGAATGTTATGTGATAATATTTACCTTCCCTGGCCGGATATAGTTGTTAAGCATAATGAAAAATAGACTTTGGAAATCCGTACTTATTTGAGATGTTGTTTACCTGTTATCTGTTTTTTTTACGAGTTTATAATTGCTTTATAAAAATTCATGATTTCCTCACATTTTCACTATATTGTTATTGGACCACTAACAAATGTCAAAGTCGACCTCTCATCTCTACTTCTTCGAGATTAGACGGGATACTCATTGAGTACATGTTGTTTTCGTACTCATACTACACTTCTATGCATTTTTGTTGGATATGCATATGTATCTCTAGTGGCCTACTGGGCATAGCAGCATGGTTGATACGGAGACTTTGGTGAGATACACTTCTCAAGGTGACCCGCAGCCAGCAGAATCTCTTTCAGTTATCTGTATTTATTTTCTATCCAATATTGTATTCCGGACGGTTGTTGCATTTTATTTCCTTCTTAGTAAATGCTCATGCACTTGTGACACCGGGTTCTGGGATGATTATGGGGTATCTTGTATTTACTCCCAAACATTCTTTTATTTACATTGTAAAGATTGTCTTTTACTAGTAAAATTGAAGGAAAACCTTAGTTTTCAAAATTGTCAAAATAAGAACTTAATCAAGTAACTTGGTTGGCTTGCCTGACAGCAGTGTCCGGCGCCATCACGACCCGTAGTGGATTTTGGGTCGTGACAACATGGTATCAGAGCACTAGGTTCCCTTAGGTCTCACGAGTCATGAGCAAGTCTAGTAGAGTCTCGCGGACTGGTACTGAGACGTATATACTTATCTTCGGGAGGCTACAGGGATATTAGGAGTACTTCCCTTCTTGATTCCTCATCGTGCGATTTGATTCCTTGAGGCTTATGCCTTTGTTTCTTTCCTACTCAATCTTACGCGATACGAACCGCTTGTTGTAAATCGAGAAATAAAGAATTGTAATGGTACTACAGATGTAGTGCGGGGTGTTTCTCCCGGCATAGTTGATTAGACTAATATTATTGTCTTGTGGAAGGATATTCTATTGTTTCAGCTCAGTAGCGGTACTTCTGAGGGCTCTGAAGCTAGGCGCAAGTTGCCATGATTCCTATGAACGATTGTTCCGCGGTATTGTCATGATGGTAGGATGTTTGCCTACGTGTTGAGGCAGTGGATGACTTGAAGGGAGGTTTACTTAGTGCATGATCTAGAGGTTCGTTATTTTATTCCCGGCAGGGGAAAGGCCATCGGGCTGAGAATGTTTCGGTTTCGGTTGATGGGTAATGGGACTTGGCATTTTCAAGCGTGGTGGAATGTTCATCTGCAATGTAGTGTCGTCGTCCTCAATGGTATGTGTTAATTTCGCCGGTGTTATGATCTTATGAATTTGCCTTGGGGTACGACATTGTGAAATAACATTGGAGAAACGACGGTTAGATATCGCGAGGTAAGGTGGTTCACGATTGAATAAGTGTTTCTAATATTGGTGGCTTGAGAAAGATGACCTTCAGAAAGGTTTAAAGTTGGTAGCGATTATGGGTTCAAGTGCTACAAAGAAAGATTTTATTTAAGGCAACAATTGAGCAGCAAAGGATGAGGAAAGACATGTGGGAAGTGTCAGGCAGTGGCTAAAATTTCTAGAAGGCCAGGTGTAAGAAGCAAAGGTCGAGTGGTTGATTAAAGGGATGAGTTCCGCTAAAGTGGGAGAGTGGCGGAGTTGCATATAGGCATTTTGGTAAGATGACTATGCACATTAAGGAGAATTTGGAATGATTTGAGAATTTTAGAGATTAGTGATTGGGGCCTACAGATTTAATTTGAAGTATGGGCTATTATGTGGCAGGAGCTTTGATATAACGGAAAGGAGCTGCTTGAAATGAAGAAGGATACAACATAACTTTGAATTGGAAGGATGTTGCCGCACATTTAATTAATGTCCACGAGGGGGTGGATGAATTTGTGCAGCTAGAGAGTGAGCTCAGACTCAGGATAGGTTATTGATGCCGTAGTGATTGTACCCCGTGCAGCAGTGTTGGAAGATGTCAGCACGTAAATTCCACATGTGGGTTATCTCCAGTGAGCAGATCGGCTGTCCCATGGTTGGCGAAGCTTCTACGAAAAATTCTATTAATTATACAGCAAAGTGATCGGTCGTGCGAATGTGGTTGATGATGTAAAGTATAAAATGGTGTTTTACAGAAAGATTCCGAGAATTTTGGTAGTTGATTGCTCAAGGTTATGTCAATAAGAGATAAAGAATCCCGGTGAATTCTAGAGTGGTGTAATAATGGCTTCAAGCTAAGTGGGAGAGTCCTACCGTCTATGATTGGGTTGCATGGTTAACTACTTGCAGGGTTTCTGGTTATTAGCATATTGATGGGTTATTTCAGCTACAGAAAAATAACATAAGTGGTAATTCGAGCAAAAGGATTGTTAAATGTGTGCTATGGTTGGCCTTGTCGGCTCATGTTCAGACTTGGGAAAGGATTCAGGATTTGTGCCCTGTATAAATGCGGCTTTCAAGGGAAGTGATTTTGCCGGGAGCTTCGTCGAGAGGGTATTCATGTGCTAGAAGATTCATGGAGTTGATTATATTCGGGGCCAAGTCAGAGCGGGTGGCTCTCAACAACGGTCCTAGTGGATGTAAAGGTTAAAGTGTGGTGCCTGATGATCTCGAGCCTATAGGTATGGTTAAGAATCAAGCTTTTGTAGCAGCTTATGAGAAGAGGCCCAGAATGTCCTCTGATGTTTTGACTTGTAGTGTAGCATTTGGGAGGAAAATGAGAAGAGACTTCAGATTCGTAGAGGGATTTTTAGAAGGAACATACCAGTTGAGGATGTCAATGTGCGGACAAGGGAGGTATGAAATGGTTCGTGGGATTTGAGACGGCATGGTCTCGTGATTCAAGGTCACTTGGGATGAGTGTGGATAGAGTGCGTTATGTGTTGAATGGAGTTATTATTATTTCTAAGGCAATCAAGGATAAATTGGAAGAAGATAGATTGGTTAGCCATAGTTGAATTGTCATATTGGTGGAAGTGATCAATTTCTTCAGCGTGATCAAGTTATACAAGTGATTTGTGATGGTATGTGTGAGGCTTGTCGGCCGCCGTAATTGATATTGTTCAGAAGTATTCTTCTGTTATGGTCTATTATGTATAGGCGGATCCTGGAAGGGCTATGGTGGCTTAGTCCACTACTTAGAGATTTGCATATTCTACGGTTATGAGAATTCACCTATGTGTTGCCATGGTTCTCCTGAAGGGAGTTAAGTGAAAAGTTTTTATATGATGAAGTGTTAACCTATTAGTGGTTCCGAAGTTATGATAAAAGGCGTGTTCTATCGTATATTGGCATGTTAGGTGCAGTGAGTGGTATAGAATCTGAAGTGGGGATCAATGTTGCAGTTTGGTGATGGCAAGGATGTCATGAGCTCGGACGAGCAGGAAAGGAGTTTCGATGTTTAAAGAAAGTGGGTATTGTCTTCAGCGTCGCCTAAGATCGGTGTTTTATGAAAACGGCTTTGCATCCTGGTTAAGGATTCTTGATCGCTTTACAACATTAGTGCGGTCGGGTAGTTTGGAGGTACATCCCTGTTATCTGTTATGGAAGGTTGTAGGAGCGAGCCATACGACAATGTTGTATAAGTGTGGCATATAGTCACTTGATTGATTGAAGAAGTTAAACCGAGTATGAAGATTGCAGTAATGTCGTTACATTGAGAATTTGATGCCTAGAGGGCACTCAGTTTGTTGTGTTGTGAACTGTGGGGGATCACTCTGGTACTGATGGTTGTTTTTGTGTGTTATGAGAAAAGGTAGTTAGTATGGACCTTTGAAAGGTTATTGGCCTAGTTTGATACGATCAAGATCGACTTGAGGTTGGTGGATGGATTTAAATGTGGATCTGGGCTCTATATTAGGCCAGATTTGTTCATCTTAGCAATGCGCTCCTTATGGAAGAGTAGTCGAGGTGTTATTTCATCGTCAACTATCTCATGTAATGATATATTGCACCATATAAGTTGTGAGACGACTTGGTGAATTTCTTATGTGTGAAGGTTCCACGTAGAGGTGAGGTTATATGAGCAGGATGGCTCTTGAGATTCAGATCATATATCACACCTCAGTTGTGCTTGTGCTTGAGTTTGTAGCTTATAGCGCTATATGTCTCCCTAGGGAAATGGTATTATGCACCTAGCGTGCTTGTGACCGATATTCGGTATCTTGCTGTAATGAGCAATTTAGCTCGATGTATTTCTCCTTATGTGAGTTCTACGTGTAGATCGGGTGGCACGTCGCCATGAGTATGTTATTTGAATAGGGTTGCACGCCGCAACAGTGTGATGCTGAGTACAATTCCTCATATCTATTTTTATGTGTTTTGTTTCCTATTTTATATGAAAAGCTTATATTAGCTGTGTGCCCGCGTCGCATGTATGATTCGCGAGCGGGGTAATTGGATTTTCCTTTCAGAGTTTGTTTTCCTTTTCTATTGCGTTAGAATTGGTAGCCTATTGGCACATGGTGGCTTCATATGAGACTTTTGGTCATGTCCGGGGTGACTTATTGTCTGAGCAGTTCGTACTGGGTGAGTCGAGGTCATTGGATTTAGGATCAGTGCAATATGATTATATGAAGTATATTAAGGAGCTAAGACCATTATTTGGTTCAAAATGAGGTGAGGGTTCTTGTTAGGAGTATAGACCCAATGATTTGTTGATTCAACAATTGGTTATGAATTTCTACGCCTATCTTTCGTCATGGCGGTATTATAAGAGTTAGAGTAAGATCTATGTATGTCATGCTGTGTAATGGGAGCATCAGATTCGTGAAATTTTGACTAAATTGATCAGAGAATGTTATTGTGGTCCTATGAGTAAAATGGTGCAAGGTATGAGTTCAGCTAAGGTATGCAGTCACGTCTTGGTGCTGCGTGTAGTTATTGACATGGTGAGCGTATGTTGGAAACAGGTCTGGCATAGAATTCCGGATGTTGGAATTGAGCTCTAAGGCTTATTTGCTTGAATAAAAGGGAATATCTTCAGAATTGATCGAGCTAATGTGCTCAACTGAGTTGTGGTAGCACGGGAAGGTGCATGAGGTGTTAAACAGTAATTTTAGACTACTTTAGTGTAGTTCTCAGCACGTTCGAGGATGAACGTAAGTTTAAGTGGGAGAGAATGTAACGACCCGATCGGTCGTTTTGAGGTCTAGCGCGTTGTTCAGCAGTCTAAGGCCATGAGCAGCTTTATTTCAGGTATTATGACTTGTACACATGGTCGGAATTGAATTTCGGGATGTTCGGAGTTGATTTGGAAAGAGAATTCTCATTTCGGAAGCTTTAAGTTGAAAGAATTAACTAGGATTGGATTTTTGATTAAACTACCTTGGAATCGGGATCTGAAGGTTCCAGCAGGT